AACCCATCAGGTATGTAGCTGTTTGGTGTGACTGAACCAATGCATCTCTGTGGTGAGCAAATGTAGTAATTTAGTCATTTTCCCATTCATTTTCGTTTACAGGGCACATGAGGCTATTTTTGTTTTTAACAAGAAGAAAAAACAAGATACCGCTGCTCCTGTGCTTTTTAAAATAGCATATCCAACCCCTATGTTGTTAATTAAACGTTTAGTAGTAATGATTCAGTCTTAAATATTTCACAAATTGCTCTGTGTGTTCTGAGGAAATTGGCGGGATTCGTTGTGTGGCGGGATTTCTTCCATAACCTTCATTGTTTTTTCTAAACGTGTTTATTTTCTCAATTCAAACTCTAAAAGGTGCAATGGGTATAAAAGGTTACTTGATTTTCAGTCTAATTTTAACTTCAGACGTTTCTTTAGAGCGTTTGAATGAAATCTTGAAATCATCATTTTGGTTCAGCAGCGCACCCGTGTGGTGACGTTTAGTAACTGCTTGTCTTCATATTCCCCTCAGATTAAAAAAATCGACTACATATTCGTGAATTGATATTTCTTAATACAGCTCTCAGTGAAATTTAATCTAATTCACAATAAGAGTATTTTCAGACCACAGATGTTGGTTGAGAAGTCGTCTCTAGTACTTAATCTACTCATCTCTAAAAGCTTTTACTAATTTGAAAACACTCACTTTGACTCATTCAGTAGTATGTGTTCATTCTGTTCTGGTCATAATAAGGTGTTCTCCTATGGTAACTGCCAGTTAAGTGTTCTAGATGCAGATATAGGCTACTGATAATGTGAAATCTTGATTGAGAAAGATGGTGGGGTCTTGTGTTGACAAACGGGGCTGGATATTTGAGAATGTTTTTCATGACAAAATAGAAAACAGTCATTTCCGCTAATGATTATGTCTTCATGCAATTATTTGGACAGTCATCATCACAGAAGAGTCTGAATGAAGTCTCTTCGCGAGTCCCAGATTCGGTGAGTTCCAAGAAGTGTGTCTGTAAACCTCCCCCCCCCCATCTGATACACACGCACAGACACAAATACTCAAACATAGTGTGCTCTCTGTGGTTTGTGGTCAGTTGATAAATGCACTGCAGCCTACAGAGAACAGGGGAGAGTTGCACACACCGAACACACATATTGACATGAAAAACACATTCCTAAGAACACCCAGTTTTTGTTCTCATCTCTCCGGTGAAGTTCTTAGAATTGCCAAACCAGCCGCAAACACACACACACACACACACACACACATACACACACACACACACACAGACAGCTTTCACATGCCGTACACACACTCTAATAAAGAACATTTGACCTCAGAAGCCCATTTTCCTGCTGTGCATATTCACTTTGAAATGAATATCTGTACCACTAGGCCCAGTGTATGTATTTATTTATAGGCTTCATTTTCGTATGCAGAAGGTAATTTTTATGTTTCTTATTTTTGATGACCTGAACGTGTTTTTGAGAACATCCCATTTGTTGTAAATGTCTACGCTCTTAAAAATAAAGGTTCCAATAGAGTTTTTTTTTTTTTTTTTGCAGCAATGCCATAGAAGAACCATTTTTTTTGTTTCCTCAAAGAACCAATAAGAAGATTTTATTTCTTAGTGTGAGGAACATTTTAATTATCTGAAGATCCTTTTGATTATGCGAGAGCCCACTCCCTTGGTTCAAAAGCAACCCCACACATGGATGGTCTCAGGATGCTTCACTGCTGGCACAACACAGGACTCATGGTAGCGTTCACCTTTTCTTCTCCGAACAATCGATTTTCCAGATGTCCCAAACAGTCGGAAGGGAGCTTCATCAGAGAAAATGTAAATGGTTCTTTCAGGTGCAATATTCTTTGTACAATTTCCTTGCATGTAAGTCCATTTTGATGCAAAGCGATGATGGCTGCACGTGTTTCTTTGGAGGTAACCATTGCTAACAAGAACACAATGATTGGAAGCGCTTCTTCCCTCCTTTCAGTCTGCTCTTACAGTCTAATTACCGTATTGGCCCGAATATAAGACGACACTGATTATAAGAAATATATCCATCTAATAGTAGCCTACCAAAATCTTATTAACAGTAGAAGTTAAATCTTACTGTAGTCTTCAAATCTGGGTACTGTCTTACGTTTTAAAATCACAAAGGGAGTTTGGTCCCATCTTTCATGAATGCATGCATTTGTGGCGTGTGCATGTACTCTGGTTAGCATCTCTTCTCTTCTGTTCTCTAAATCCTCTTCTGTGTTTTGCTCTCTCCAACACAATACCAGCAGCAGTTGCCCTTCTGGGTCACACACACAATTAAAATGGTTTTTACTCTGTGGATACCTGATAATGTGTTCAGAACAGAGAACACAGGAGAAGAGAACAGAGTGGTAAGCGAAGAGAAAAATACATACTGATTGATATAGGATGTATGTTATAACTCATACATTATAAGTGTCTGTGTGTAATATGCTAAAAGAAAACACCCTGAGCTGGTGCAGTGTAGACAGGAAAAAATGTTGTTGCTTGCAAAAAAAACAAAAAACGTTTTGTCAGAATATGTGGCTAGTTTTGAATCTCGAATGGAATAGTGGAGAAAGATGAAGAAAAATGTTATTTCCCCCCCACAGATAAGCCATTTACAGACACTGACTACTTCTGAATTAACGACTTAGTTCTGTTTGCTATAGCATAGGTTTGACTGCATTTATTCTATTGTAGGTCACTGGCTCCACCTTGAGGCGTCCTCTGTAGCTGCAGTCAAAAAGTAACATGCCGTCCAATCTCAGTTTAAAGGGTTAGTTCACCCAAAAATGAAAATTAGCTTGTGTTTTACTCACCCTCGAAGCATCCTAGGTGTATATGACTTTCTTCTTTCAGATGAATCCAGTCTGAGTTATATTAAAAATTGTCCTGGCTATTCCAAGCTCTATCATTGCAGTCAGCGGGTGTTGCAGTTGAACAGTCCACAAGTCGTCAAATAAAGCACGCGCATTCATAATAAAACGTGCCTCACATGGCTCCGGGGGGTGCATAAAGGCCTTCATATTTACGTTTGAAATATGGATATTTTTCTTACAAAAACACATGGATTCGCTACAGGAGGAATACCCCCAGCCTCCCCTCCCTCCCCCCTCCTAAAATGTTTATTACAAGAAATTCAGACACGAAAAAAAGAGCGTATCTCTCTCTTTTTCCAGCTCTCAGAGACCAAACTCGGATGTGAGCAGGCATCACAAGGACGAAAATTTTATAACAAATGCATGGAGTAGTATGGTCAGTGTGTATGCGTCATTAGTGTGTAGGCCTATGTGTGTTTATCTGTATCAATTATTTGACCTTGTCATTCTTAGGCCGCGGCGTTCCATCAGATATCAGAGAATGAAGTGAGAGATTCAAGCCATCCTCAGTCATTTCTCGGCCAACAGAGAATTTCTGCTGCACTCAGGAGGGTCCGGCTTTGCAAGGACAAACCAAGATAAAACGATGAACTTTGTTCCATATTATGAGTCCTACACAGGAATTGGTGAGACACAAAGTCACTGGCTCCACCTGCTGGACAGTGAATACGCTTACATGCACAATCATGCTCATAGGCTAGTCATTATAAAATACTGAATAAATATGCAGATAAGTAAATGTCAGAAAATGTTCTGACCAAACAAAGTTTTTCCAGACAGTGTATTGTCCTCTGGTATTATTTAATCAAGATAAGTCATCATATTTCAGTCTTCTGCAAACACACACGTGTGAGATTCCACGCGTCTTATTTTTGTTTGTACAAAAGTTATAGCTTGTTTTATTCTGTGGTGAGAATTTAACCTTTTTTTTTTTGAGTGCAAAAACAACCTGTGATTTTTAGAGTGTTTTTTTTTTTTGTTGTCTTTCTTTAGCAATAGCCAATGATTACAAGCCAAAAAAAAATGGATGTGTTGTTTGGATTGCTCAGTTATAGTGGAACATTTTCTTTGGTCCTCGTGAAGTAGGCTACTTTGAAAATTTGTATTTACATTATACCGTTAAATCTTTGATGAAAGATTCATTTATAATAAGAATTATGTGGCTTAGTCCAAAATCAAAGCTGCAAATAAATGGAAGTTCTGGAGAAAGATTTTGCTACATCAGGTGTGGTAAATCCTTTTCTTAAATAAAGAAGTCCCTTTGTTGCTAGCTATTCCCTTGGGAAAGTTTTTTTTCCAAAGGGATTATTAAAGGTCGTAAATATGATTCAGACCACTTGTCATGTACAGTGCGCCTGAGGAAACACTTGACACTTGAGCTCAACATCTGACTGTTTGAACTTCAGGTGAGCAAGAGCTTCAGTAGCCGTGAGAAATAAACCATTTATTTAGCCATAAACACTAAAGTGATTATTGAAATGTGATTATTGTGCATAATGGTTTTTCATTGTGAAATTAGAACAATTTCGTAAGCGTATTAGTATTAATGTTCTTGTTTTATAGAAATAAATTTTGGTCAATTTAGTCTATTTTCGTATAACGAATAAATAAATAGCCTACATAGGCTACATTGGCTTAATAAGAGTGCATCGATGCTGCTTAAGTTGTCAAATGAAGACTAAAATAAAAATGTAGGCCTACTGATATGAAAAAAAGTGAAAAGCTCACAACAGCAAAGCCTTTCAGTTCCCACGGCATGATATGAAGAGATGAAAGGTGCACTTGTCACTACTTCACGAAAACTCACCTGTCACTCACAGCCATTATTCAGACAGGTAGGCTACAATAGCTAAGCTATTTAAATAATAAATAGCTATAATAAAGCAATGATGACCAATCATCAAAGAACCCGTTGAGAGAATATAATGGTCAGCTCTGGCTCCATGTCCACAACGACAGCAAGGTGACCATACGGGACCTTGAACCGCGAGATTTCTCAACAAGCGACTTTCTTCAGCGATTTTTTCGTGAGCGGCAGTGGAAGAAAATAAATCGAATTTCGAACCCTACAGGCTAGTGTGTAACATTCTCTAATTCAGCAAAAATGACGTTTCAAATCAGCTTTTTTATTCTGTTGTCAGTGGTCACTTTGGTTGGCGCTTTTTCCCCTCGCAGCGTCTTTCAGCGGGACTTTCACCGACACGTCGCGAAAGATTTTGAATCTTCCGGGAACGGACCAGACGAACCGCTTCGGGGTTCTGTCAGAGTTGTCAAACTAAGCCCTCATTTTCTGCGACGGGCCGCCGGTAGTCACGTGTCGTCCACAAACTCACCGAGTCGAGGCGCGTTTCCCGCTTTTTTGGTCCTCGGACGTCCCGGTCCGTCAGTCCTGTCCCATAACAAACCTGCGGCCCTGCTCCCTCAGGTGAGCGCGAGCAGCACCAACGCAGACGCCAGGAGGAAACAGGGTCTGGAGATGTGGCAGAAAGTGATGCACAAAAGCGAGCGAAGCAAAGAGGCCGTGGCGCTACGTATCAATCCCAAAGACACGAGCAAACAGAGCTGTGCCGCAGTGCCCTTCACACAGGTACGCAGACGCCAGGAGGAAACAGGGTCTGGAGATGTGGCAGAAAGTGATGCACAGAAGCGAGCGAAGCAAAGAGGCCGTGGCGCTACGCATCAATCGCAAAGACACGAGCAAACAGAGCTGTGCCGCAGTGCCCTTCACACAGGTAGCCTACGTTCATTCATTCATTCATTCATTCATTGTATGTAGGCTATGTATGTATGTATTTTATTTTTTAAAAAGGACGCATTTTATTTCTAATTGATTTTGCAGACGTATTACTGTATTAGCTACACAGGTGCTCAAGGGATTTTCTTATATAGCCTAGGCCTATTTAATATTTAATTAATATATATATTTTTTTTTATACAAATGATCTATTATTAATGAAGTGCTGCCCTATTTGGTACGCACTATAAAAACATAAACTTAAAACCTCAATTTAATTGCTGTCTTCAAAATTTAAGTAGCCTACAATAATAATATAAATCCTGCAGTGATACGTGCATTTGGATTTTCTTATATAGCCTAGGCCTATTTAATATTTAATTAATATATATATATATTTTTATACAAATGATCTATTATTAATGAAGTGCTGCCCTATTTGGTACGCACTATAAAAACATAAACTTAAAACCTCAATTTAATTGCTGTCTTCAAAATTTAAGTAGCCTACAATAATAATATAAATCCTGCAGTGATACGTGCATTGCACTTGTTTGATCACTTCGAATTAAATTTCTGATGGGAAAAAAAAAAAAAACTAAATAAAGAAATACATTTCTGAAAAAAGCATAAAAACACATAGCCTAAAAAAAAATAAAATAAAAATTTGTCTGATGGCGTTTAAAAAGTTAATATTGTGACCAAAGGGAAAATATATAGCTAAACGAGAATTTATAGCCTAAACATAAATAAGCTACATAAAAAGATTATAGGCCTATATAAGAATATGCTAACAATTGAACTAATCATGTGTTTTTTGTTTTTGTTTTTTCCCTATTTACACCGGGTTTTAAAATCAGACTTCAAAATTGCAATTTAGCTTGCGTTGTTTGAAAAACAGGATTTTTTTTTTCATACGAGCGACATGACTGTGTAAACGATAGGCTAAGGATGACTAAATTATTAGCAAGTTGTTATTACCTATTATTGTTATTGCTGTTAGGCTATTATTATTATTAGCATTAAGTATTAACTTGTTTGAAAATGCATGCCTTCATTTAAACGGGTGTGCTAGCCTATTACATCTACTTGCTTGTTTTTGAACCATAGCCTATTTTTCAAAATGACTTTCTGTTCGCAGCGCTTAACGGAGGACGGCTGTGAGACGGTGACCGTTCACAATAATCTCTGCTACGGTCAGTGCAGCTCCATGTTCGTCCCGTCCAGCGGAGAGTCCCGTGGACAGCAAAGAGCGCAGTGCACTCGATGCAGTCCCTCTAAATCGCGCTCTGTGCTCGTACCCCTGCGCTGCGGCACAGAGGTGCGCGAGAGGCGCGTCATGATCGTTGAGGAGTGCAAATGCGAAACAAGCAGTGAAGAGGTCAAAGTTCAGAACACGGAAATGTTTCATTTCTAACAGACATTTTAAAGTTTTTTTTAAAACGTTCTAATATTTAAGTGCACCGATGGTGTGTGTATTTATAAGATTACCAAGCCACATAAATGTGGAAGATTTGTGTTGTGTGGCTGAAGTGTGACCGACATTCGGTTCAGAATGTGTTAAACACGAGTCCTTGGGAATACAGGGAAAATTTTCTGTAAACTGCCGTCTGATATTCAGCGGTATCGTATCTTTGTGTTAACTGAAATGACGGTGCTGCTCTTGAGTTAATTTTTTTTAAAGAATCAGTAATTGTATGGTTACGTGTAATTTCATAGCTTTACCGATAAGTGTCGCTGTTGCATGAATATGATTTCAGCATTTTTTTTAACTTTAGTTTATTCTGTTGTGTTTATAAAGAATTATTTGAATTGAGGTAAATTGAAACACATTGCAACGACAGTAAAAAGTGGCCCGGTTTACTCGACTTCTTCCTACACAGCATTAATCTTGCGGATAAAAGTATAATTTGGTTACACTTTATTTTAAGGTGTCCTTGTTACAGTGTAATTATACCTTTAAGTACCGAGTAATATTAATTAACTACATGTACTTTAACTTACTATATGGTTAGGGTTAGGATTAGGGTTACTTGCATGTAATTATGTATAATTTATTGTTATTATAGCCTAATTGTAAGTATGTAATATGTGTAACAAGGACACCTTAAAATAAAGTGTTACCGTATATTTGTTGTATTTTGTTGAGATGTAGGCTATTTGAGTCTGGTGGCATTATCAGAGAATTTAGTTAAACTGTATATCAGTTTAACTAAATATCAGTTAAACTGTAGCCTATAACTGTACAATCAACAAATAGGCTACCACGCAAAGTGGAACAGTATTCAATGAAAAAAGGTGCTAGATCAATAAAACATCTTAAAGGTCCCATGGCATGAAAATTTCACTTTATGAGGTGAGCCTTTAGCCTATGTGTTTGTTTAAATGCCTCCTAATTCATTTTTATTCATAACAGCAAACTAAGCAACCTACAGAATATGTATGTAGCTTATGTATTCTGTTCTTTGGGCTTGCTATGTATTGTCTGCTAATATAGGCAGTTAGGCTATATATTATTGGAAGTTCAGCAATGGGTTCTATACGTCTAACCTGCATGGGGTAGGCTATAGAAAATACGTATTGATCGTCTTGCATCTTAGGTAAACAATAAAAGCAAGAACCTAGTTTGCTGCTTTAATGAGACTATCTTTTAACATCAAAATGCACTTTAAGTGTTAAGTCTCTGCTGCTGCCTATATAATCACTCTGTTCAAAACTGTGGGAATCGTCATCTCCCTATAGGACAGCTGCACTTCAGTCCTGAACATGTCAGAGAAAAATAACAGTTTTATTCATCGATTTTCTGGCACCTGGCTGGAAAAAAGGTCGAGTTTACTCGTCCTATACGAAAAATCGCCGGAGGGAGAACAAGGGGGTGCTTTACATCGCCTTGGCAGTCTGTCAAAACCGCTTCTGCAATTTGCATTGCGCACGAAATTGCCCCCTCCATCTACTCCTCGCGTGTGTTGTGGATTTTACTGGCAGTTCTGGTCTACGTCAGTCTGTGCAGTGCAGTGGTTAATGAGGTAAATTTAAGTAAATTAATAATTTGTTTATTCCAAAGTGGTTCCTCGTGCAACAGATGTGGAGCTTTTTATATAAGTCGCGAAAACGCTTTAGAGGGCGCTGTTGCCATGGCAGCGCTGAACGAGGCGGGGGCTTGTTTTTTTTCTTCTGTATTTGGGCTCACGCTTCGCTCGTGCCAAGAACCAGAGCTTCGGGAAATCTAACCACCGTCGGTAAGCTCGTAAAATGACAACAACGCGAACCCGAGAGCATCCTATTAGGCTACTTGTGTAGGGTTGAGCAAGCAAAGAACGGCGGGAAAATACGCCAGAGAAACGCGCCATTAAAACTGCATTAGAGGAAAGTGGTGTGTGGTTAGTGCGATCGCTAGGTTGACAGGATCGGTTCATAACATTGCAACCCAGGCTGGCATATTGGTGTGATAGGCAACTATGGACATTTGATTAAAGCATTACAAAGAAACAAGCTTTTACCTTTGAAGCTGATATTTGCATGTACAGTGTTTGCATGAACAGCAGTACAAAAACTAGTAGCCTATAACTTGTCACTCAGCCCATCTTATTGTGTTTGTTAAGCCTGGTTTAATATTCAGTCGCCCCGCACATGTCCAGCACTGCGTATCTCCTGAGAGTGGACCAGTTGGACTTTTGCATATTGAACCTTTTTAATAACGTGGCACTGATTGAGGCCTTTGAAATGCAGACTTGGGTCTGAAGCTGGTCCATGGGTGGATGGTGGATTGGTTGGACCTGACAGCTCTAAGCATGGTGAGAGGGGCCGCGTTCCTGCATGCCTCAGGGTCTTTAGTGTGAAATGCCAGGGTAAACTTAGAGATGGTACGGTTGCAATGATATGGATGTGGCACGGACGCCCAGGAGCAGCTGGGCAAGGTTGGCACATGATTGCCATTGGGAGTTTGTGCCGCAGGGCACCGCCAGCTTCCAGTGCTTCAGTTGAATCATACAATTCTCCATTGAAATTGTACATTGAGTTGCCTTCACTTCACGTCCAACCTGTAAAACCCAAAGCAGCTGTATGTAAAAGCACACAGGGCCAGGGTTTTTATAGATCACATTAATTCACAGTGTATGGTAGCAAGTTAGCTAACTGTATCTAACGCTGAAGAACGGGCAGAGAAAAACTCTCTATCTTTAGAAGAAACTGAAGGAATAATTCACTTAAATGCAAACTGTGTATTTACTTACCCGCAGGTTGTTCCATTTCCAAGTTGTTGTTGTTTTTTTCAATGGAACACAAAAGGAAAAATGGAAAAGCTTTTTATGCCTCTGTCAAAGAGCTCCAAAAATACATAAAACACTATAAAAGTATCATAAAGTTATAGACAATGTGACTTGCGTTACACATATTCTGAAGCCAATATGCAGGATCTCAAGATTGCAAGACAAAGCAAGTTTATTTATGTGGCACATTTCATACACAATTTTAATTCGAGTCGAGTTTAAAGTTCCATTTATGAACACAAAAAAGTAAGAAAATCTGCCTTTTAAAATAGATTAAAATATATTTAAATACAAGGCCATAATTGCAGTTTATGTTCATTCACAGAATCCGGTTACTGTAAAAGCCTCACTTTAATTTCTCATTCACTCTCATGTACATGCACAAATGCATGCGACTTTGACCTGTGGAATGTGCAAACATATTAATTAGACATTATAGATTAAAGCCTGTGAGATGCAGTTGATGTCACATAGCAACTCTAATTGCATTAATTAGGGTAATTAAGGCCAGACATTTGGCGAAAGCATCTTGTGTAGCCCTGCCTGATGTCATATTTTCCTGTCGTCTGCCTCACCGTGCCATGTTTCCGAGCTCAGCGTCCATGTGTGCCGGTGTCTGCTGACATCAGGATAACTGTGTTCATTTACCCTGAGAGAGCAGGAGACATACGCTCTGTTACGGCGCCTAGTGAGCTGCCTACATAGCCCGTATTTTAAGGCATCATATGTGTGTTTCCAACATGAAGGCTGTTCCAGAATGTAGGCAGTGTAATTCTGCTGACTTACATATGTATTTTTCAAAATGCAGTCAGACAATGCTCTGTAATGAACACAGAGAAAAAATAATTCAAGATGGCAGACAAAAACAAAGCATTGATGAAAAATGGTCCATGGTCCATCTATGGTTTCATGAAGAACCTTTATCATCCACGGAACCTTTCCATTGCACAAAGGTTTCTTATAATGGTAAAAAAAGATCTTTAGGTTATTAAAATGCTCTTCACGCTTAGAAAAAAAATGAGTTCTTGTAAAAACTGATCTCTGAAAGGTACTTTAGCAGACAAAAAATGGTTCTTCTGTGGCATTGCTTTGAAAATCTTGACTTGTAACCTTTATTTTTCAGAGTGTGGGCAGTAAACAGCAAGGCTGCTCACAATGATTTGGAACAGATGCATAGAAATGTAGCTACTGTAAAACATTAGATTCTAGTGTCTGGGAGAGAAAATATATAAAAATAAAAAATTTAAAAAAAGAAGAAGAAGATACAAAGTGGAGAAATTATTAATTTCTTCCAGGAATGTATGCCAGGTTTTAATGGGGAGAAGCTCATTATTTGTCTTTTCCTCAACTTTCGACACATGGCTTTTGAGTGCAAAAGGGGAAAGAGGAAAAGGAAATGGAATTCTCTTTAAGAATTCATCACTCTCAGAGATGCAGGAAGTGCCCGTGGGAGCCATTTTGTTTCTCAAATTGTGCTGAGCGGAGTGCAGCGAAGAGAGAAAATCTGGGCACAGTTGAGCGTGCATTCTGAATGTCACTCAGACTCCAGAGAGTCTCTAATTGATTTGGGACTTTGATTCTTCGCTCATTTCGAGAACACAATGCTCAGAGAGTGGGAGTGAGCAACACAGCTGTAAGCTTTTAAATGTCTTGTGTTAAACATGGCACAGATGCCGTGCAAAACTTTTTTTAAAGAGCTGTGAGAATGTGGCAGTGTTTGGCCAATATGCAGTACATAGTATGTACACTCTTAAAAATAAAGTTTTTTTTATTGGCACCTATGGTTCCGTGAAGAACCTTCAAAATCCATTGGAGCTTTCCATTCCACAAATGCTTCTTAACAGTGGGAAAAGTTTCTTCAGAAATTAAAGTATTATAAAGTATTAAAATGTTCTTCACAGTAAGAAAACTTAGGTTCTTTTAAGAACTGTTGATTGAAATGTTCTTTGGGGAACCCAAAATGGTTCTTCTATGGCATCGCTGCAAAAACCTCCTTTTGGAACACAGTTTTATCTGTTTAGTAAAACTTTCGTACAGTAACATTAATAGAACTTTCATTCAAAGTTGTCTGGTCTTTAATAATGTCTGTGAAACGTCAGCACAAACATGTTAATTATACTTTTTACTTTTTTTCTTTTAAACGTCGTTA